GAAGGACAAACACACTTGATCAAGCTGAGCTGTCCCATATGCATGGAGTCTTGTTTCCTGGTAACATGTTGCAGCCCATATAATAGAAAAACAGCATCCAGAACTGTAGGCAGTGTCCCCTGGAGAGGAAAAATTTGCAGTTAGAGAAAAGGCTGTTATTTGGTACAATATTCTGGGACTGCTTAGTATTTTGATCTAGTTCTGTTTGGCAAGACATCTCATGATGGAGAATGTCTCACCTTATCAGTGATGGACTGCAGCTGCAGCACAGGGACAGGAGGTCTGTAGGTGATCAGCTGCACTGGGAACAATTTGAAGATATGAGAGTCAATTAGCTCAGGGTAAACCAAGAAGGTATCTGATTAGTCAGAGTACTAAAAGCCAATTACTTCCAGAGCACAGCTAAATGGCTTTGTAAGTCTAAGAAAAGAGAGCATCTGATAGTTTTTCCAACTCATGAGTTCTGATCACTAAAAAACTGACCTCTTCTTGGCCTCCCCCCGAAAATTTAGTTCTGGATGAAGGCGGATTTGTGAGGGGGTTTGTATTTTTTAAATAAATAATTTCTGCAGGGGCTTGTAAGATTCCCAGCTATTCAAGAGCAGGCTTTAATGTGGAGAAAAACTCATCACCATGAAGCGGGATTTTTTTGAGAACCACTACTAGAAGCAAACTGATCTTTGCAAAGTCAAGCTGTCCTGTCCTCATGTGGGGTTTGCTCTTGGACAATACGGCTACCCTGGGAACAGCATCAGGTCAGCCTCCCACCACCTCGTCCCTTCTTCTCTGACAAGAAGAGACTGTCCCTTACAGAACTAAGAACCTGATGATTTGCTTCCCATGGGCTGCACATTAAAATATCTAAGAACTCTGCTTGTGATCTTAGCCTGTAGCTGAAACATGAAGTGCATTTCTGATCATTCAAACGCATTCACTAGCTTGCTGAAAACTTATATAGAAATGAAAGGATGCTCAAGGCAGGCAAAGCTAAGAGTGTGATTAAGAAGTGAACCATCTGTGGGCTGGTGTGTGGCTGCCTCTGTGGCTGCTAACAATTCCAGCTGGACCTGTCAGCTCCTTTCTTGTAAGCATGCTGTCAATGCAAATTGACAGGAATCCCCGGGATTCGAGCCCCAGAACGTATTCCCTTATGCAGCGCTAATTGTTCACAACAGGACAGATAACGCAGAAGAGGATGTTTGACTAATTGCATACCAAATTGCACCCAAGCCAAAAAACAGTCACTGAAGAGAGAGTATGTAATTTCAGATAGGATGAAATGGGATCATGTGAATGCATGAACTCAACCACTTAGGTTCTGCTTAAATTCTCGCTGTAAATATTCAGCAGAATTTACAAGGCCATAAGCTGATGCTCTGCATGAATGTGAATAGCATCCATAGCATGTATGGAATTGTGTCTTGTATAATTCAGGAGAGGAAAAAAGCATAAGAAATGGGATACGCATAGCATGATCCTTCCTCTACTGTACCCTATCTACTGACTTTCACTACTTTAAGGATTTCTGGAGGCTGTTCCTGCTTCCTCGAGCTTAATGGCCCATGAGACACCTTTCTTCCCTGATTCTGTCTAGGTGCTTCTTCAGCCCATTTATGCTTGTGATATCCAAAACATCTTTTGGCAAGCAGGCGCACAATGTAATTATGTATTGTGTGCAGATGATCTTCCTTTCATTGATTGTGATTAACAATTTCATGTGTTCCCTGCTAATTCCTGTATTATAAGAAAGAGTGAACAACCTTTTCTTCCTCATGTTTGCAATTTTCGCTTCCTTTTGTAGACTGAGCCATATTATTTGCAGAAAATTAAACCTTGAATTGATTAATCTCAAATATTAAGGTGACAAGAGATCACATTTATTTGCTAACTTCCAGCTGCATCTGTACAGCAAGCCTGTTCAGAATTCCAGGTACAAGAAGTGGTCTCTCCGTAGTGTTCAGCCTCTGAATACAAATTACAGCATGAAGCCTCCTCCAGCGTTATTATCCATTGGGCTACAGGGATTTAGAAATTCTTTGTATCTTGTCTAGTTACTATGGCCATTCTCAAAGGCTGTTATTTGTATGCTTTTTACCAGATGTGTAAGTATGAGGCTATGCTTTGGGCTGTCTTCAAAGGTATACAGCATTTCAATGAAAATCCCGCCGTGTTCAGACACAGAGGCTTCAGCAGAGCCCCTCATGTGAAGACCAAAAAGAATCCAAAACCCTTGGGTCTAAAAGAAAAACAGCCGTGTCTCCCCTTTCTCCTTGTCTTCACACGGAACACTGTGCAAAATGCTACTATGAAGCTCTCCCTCTGCACCTGTCATTGGCTTCTCCATCTTGTTCAGAGTCTCACATGTATCTAGTCTCCTTTCATCCCATGTACCCATCTCCAAAAAATGTACCAGATGCATCCTCCTTATTGCTTGCCATTGGCAACAGTAATTTTTCTCAAGGGAAAGTCGTGTCATCACTTCTCACCCTTCACGCCAGAGACTCTCTCCCTTGCTTCTACTTTTCAAAGGCCCACGTACAAAATGCCCACTGGGTACAAAATGACAGAAAATCAGAGCACCTGTAATTTACATTCATCTGGCACTAGCATGAGCAGCTGTGCAAAAGCACAGGCCTAGAATTTTGAGGTCCCCAGCTCTCAGTACCCTAGCAGATCGGTTTCTGCTACATACTATTTTACCCTTCCATGTCTGAATTTGAACACAACAGCCTGTGAGCAAAACAGTTACCTCCGGACAGCCAGAGCGCTCATCCTCCCTGCTCCATCAGGGTGTGGGCGTCCCCTCTATCTCACCGCCAGGCCCGAAAGCCTCAGCAGCCCGGCTGCTGTTGCAGCCGCTTCAGCAGCTTTTGGGCTCAGCCGGCGCGGTCATACTGCCCAGCGTGGAAGTCTATTTCCACCATTGCCATGAGTCAGAGGGGTCTGAGGGAACTGCCCGAGAATCCGTGGGCAAGGACACGGCCCCGGGGGACAGCAAGCTGCAGCTGACGCTGGCTGTATGAGGACCTTTAGCCCCTTCTGGCCACCGGGCCCTGCCTGCATCTTGCCCTCGCTTTGACCTCATGGCGCTTCTCCTAGGATATGGCCAAATCTCAGCAGGACACAGGTCTGGGCAACCTGCTGTAGGCGAGCCTGCCTGAGCAGGTGTTGGACCAGATGACCTCCACAGGGCCCTGCAAACCTCTACCCTCCTGCGTGACTCTGTGCTTTGGCTTTCCTCCCAAAGCACCTCAACCCAGCCCTGATGCCCGCTGCAACGGGTGCTGGGACAAAGCACGATCCCAAACTCCTCCCCGAGGATTCCTCCCAAAACAACACCTCCCCACTCCACAATATCCCATGGCAGACACCGTCAGCAGAGAGAAAAGATCATTTTTATTGTGGACATCAATTGTGGGGGCCCAGGACTCACAGCGGATCAGCCGGTGAAAAGAAATCAGCACCTGCAAGGGCAGAGTGACAAAGCTCTGATCAATCCGTCAAGGCGGGAAGAGACAGAACGTTCTTCCCCTTTCTTTGGGCAACACTGTTTAGGAGGAGTTGTTCATGGCCCAGAGAGAGCTGTTGCTGGCATTGACTACGAGATGGCTCGGGCACCTGATCCCCTTGGGGAATGCCCTTAGAGACCTGTCCGTGTGCAGAGACGCAACGTACCCCCATGCCCTGCAGCGGGGCTCTGTCTGTTGGAAAGACGGGCAGCAGAGCCGGGCAGCAGAGCCTGGTACACACCTGTGCTTCCTGACCGTCTGCGCCTTCCCACATCGTTTCATGGGTCTGTCCCCCAAAACTTTTTCTCTTTTCATATTCTTCTTTTCTGAACAGCTTTCACTCTCCCCTCCCCAGGCCTGTTTTCTTTTTCGGTTTCTCTTCTTCTTCTTGTCCTGTGGAGAGCCTGCAAAACTTTCCATCCTACAGTGCTATGAGATGGGGAAAGCCACAGTCCACTGGAGTCAGTTCTGATTTTAACCAAAGCCAGTTCATTTCACCTGCTGTCCTCCGAAAGGCTCGCCACATCTTCTGGGCGCCCCAGGGAGTCTGTGGCACTCTGGTGGGTTTTCAGAGGCAAAGCTGGAGGTGCCTACAAGAGAAATGGCATTGTTAACTTTTGGCACTAGATGATCTGGAGCAGCAAGCGACTACCTGCCAAACCGCTACCTTAGCTCTCCAGAGGAGATCCCTTTGGCTGCTTTGCATCAGCCACATCTCGTGCAGTCCCACCGACCACCCCAAAAAACACTGGATCAAGCTCTGACAAAGTCCGACCTGAGCAAAACCCCTCTGAAGCTGACAGCTGCTAGCTCCCTCTGTTTTCCTGTAGGGATTTTGTGGGCGTTTGGTACATGAAGCACATGCCCAGTGCATTGGAGAAACCACCTGGCTGGGTTTAATTACAATGTATCCTGCCCAGAGCGGTGGAGCACTAACCCAAACACACAGCAGCTGTAAGACGGGGCAGAGGCACAGCAGTGACTTGGCCCCATCAGAAACTCCCCTCCTCCACGAGACATCCTATCAGTGTTCGGGGACCAGACTTACCTCTCCTGTCTCAGACTACACCAGCTTATCTCCCCCAGCTTCTTGGAGGACAGCAAGTAGAGAGGGGGGTGCATGCGGCAAGGCTTCTGCCTGGTGCTCGCTGTCTGCTGGGGCTGCAGGGACAATTTGCTCTTCCAAACGCAGCTCTAGAAAGCAAAAGCACGTGCAGCAAAGTGACTTCTAGGGAGCAAACACCAGGAAAAGCAAGACCCATTGAAGCCCTACGCCACTTGTGTCTTCAGCCCTGCGACGCTCTGTCTGCAGGCTTCAGGTCACTTTGCAGACCAAACCGTTTGTGCCCCGAGAGGCGGTGGCCAAACAGAGGCCGCGGGACAAGCGGGGCTGAGAGGACAACACTCGATGCCCAGCCCCACCAGAAACGAGGCCCAGGTTTCTGGCGTCCCTAGCCCCAGGCTGTGATGATCCCCAGTCCCTCCTCTTACCACCTCTGGGTGTCTCCGTGGGGGCTGGCGACTCCTCCTGGGCTGGTGGGCTGGAAAGGTCACTCCTCTCCTCCCCAAAGAGGTCCCTGCAGTTCTCTATCAGGAACTCCACCAGCACCTTCACCTGCACACATCAAAGCCTTGGTCTCAACCCTGCTGCCAGAAAACGGACCCAGCAGCCTTTCCCTGTCCTGAGCCTTGCTTCTGCGCAGAAGGCTGTGGCCGTGGGGCTGCTCTTCCACACAGCCACCCCACCAGCATTTGCTTGAGGGAGGACGCACGCAGACACCTCTGAGCAGCCAAGCTGTGATGGGCCGGCAAGGCTGCAGCCGGCTGGGCTAGGCAGCGTACCTTGTCAGTCACCTCCAGCATGGCCTCCAGCGGGAGCAGGTCCTCGTTGGGTGGGCTCAGCAAGTTAGGCCCAACGCAGATGGCCAGGTTGGTGCAGCTCATCGTGCTGGTGGCTGCGTTGTGGCCGCTGTGCCAGAGGAGGGACAGAAGCTGCTTCAGGAGGAGGACATTGGCCGCAGGCAGCTTCTTGGCCACCCTGAGGGAACAGCAAGCCAACACTCCTAAAGCAGATGCTGCCCAAGGCAGTGGGGAGCCAGCGGCTGTGTTGCACAGCTCTCCAGGTGCTCTCAGGCAGCGGTCAGGGCTCCTGCTCAAGAGGGAGCCTGCTGTCCACTCTTACGCTTTCAGCTCCGAGATCTTCTCCTCCTTGCTGCTCCTCTGCATGGCTGCCATCCAGTCCCCGTAGAGGTCCGTCATGAGGAGCTTGGAGGGGATGCTTCGGAGGAAGTCCTGTAAGGCCAAGAGCTCCAGGTGAGCCTTTGCACACCGCGTGCCAGCCAGCAGCTCCTCCAGCTGCAGGTCGGAAGCGCTTGCCTTCAAGACGACGGCTAGGCAGCAGCGCAGGCTGGCTTGCCAGGTCGACGTCTGCGCCGCAATCCATGGCCTCCCGCAGCTTCCAAAGCTCTGTCCCACTGGCAGCTAGGCGGAATATCCCCTCCGTCCGCCGCCCCTCCCCC